GGGGGGGGTGGTAAAAAAAAAAGGGGTTTTTTTTCGCGGGCCAAGACCCCCCCGTGGACAGGGGTTTTTTTTTTGGCCCTTCGAGCCCAAGAATATGGGACGGGCCCCCCCCCCCCCCCCCCCTTGGGCCCTTTTCCATTCCCAAACGGGGTTCGAGGGGTTTTTTGGTTCAAGGAAAACCCGGGCCGCCCCCCCCCCGTTTTTGTGGGGATGGGGGGTCTGGGTTTAAAAAATTGCGGGAGGCCGGGTTTAGGCACCCCCCCCCCCCCCCCCCCCCCCGACCACCCCATAACACATCGACGGTTTTCCCTTCCCCCCAAGCACCACCATCGCCGCCACCCACAGCCAAAACTGGGCCCCTAGTGCTTGGACTGCAGCTGCTTCTTCTTCTGTCTCCTACCCATCGACTCCAGGTTGCGGAAGGGGGCTTCCACCAGCAGGTGCAGCCCGGTGCCTCCCAGGAACGTCCCGAACACGATCCCCATATACGTCACGGCGAACTCGAGCCCCGTCAGCTCGATGGGCTGGTCGCGCGTCCCGTACAGCAGCGTCAGCAGGAGGGTGTGGAACAGGTACGTGCAGTAGGTCAGCCTCGAGAGGCTCGTCCACCCGGGCCGCGTCAGCAGCCAGTTCACCAGCCCGCCGTGCCCGCAGAAGCAGAGCATGCACATGAGCGCCAGGCCGAGCGCCCACGTCGGCCGCCCGAACGCCAGGTACAGGTGGTCCGCCCACGGCGGCAGGTTGGGGTTCTTGGCGTCCTGGTAGTCCCAGTACGTGCCGTACACCGGCAGTCCCATCAGCGCGGCCGACAGCAGCGCCACAACCACCGCCGGCCAGTAGACGTACTTCCCGGGCTTCGCGAGGCGCTCCAGGGGGTTCTTGGCGGCCTGTTCGGTGCCGTCTCCGTTGGTGATGCTGCCGCTGCCGTTGGCGGCGCTGCCGTTCGCGCCGGCGCCGGCGGCGTCGCCGCCGCCCGCGGCGGAAGACCCGATGCGGCCGCGGAAGTGTGTGTGCCACGCCATCCCGCACAGCATGCCCACGAGGTAGACCGAGCACCGGGACCACGGGACGGCGTAGACGGTGCCCCACCCGTCCGAGTTCACCACCCGGGTGAAGATCGAGAAGCTAACCTGCTGGAAGAACCCGTAGTACACGAAGGTGAACACGCAGCTCAGGACCGCGGCGACGAAGACGAGCGTGGCGCTGAGGCGAGGCCGGCGGTGGTAGAGGGCCACGGTCGGCACGCCGAGCAGGAAGTACATGGTGTCGTCGGCCAGGTACCAGCTGACGCCGGTGCAGCCGTCGCTCAGGGGCGGCCAGGGGAAAATGCTCGAGACGTACGCGATCTCTGTCCACCAGTACCTGATCCGAACGGTCGCGGAGGGGGACGAAGAACGAGGATTGATTTAGTTTCACCAATTCATTCCGCGGCCATGTTATGGCCATGGTTTGGCTTTAATTTTGTTCGGGGGGAGGGGGGGGGGGGTATACTCATAGTCGTGCATGCCGTAGTCTTTAGACCACTGACCTCGCATCCCTACAAAGCCGGGACGGAGCATGCCGGGTTCTCACCGGACCAGGCTCTCACATCACCAAGCGCGTTCGGGGGGGCGGGGGCGGGGTTATAGCGTTTGAACAAGTCAACTTAATTGAATCTTCCAAAACCTAGGGCCATTTGACCACAAGGCTTCAACGTCCGAAGTCGCTCTTCCAAAACACCATGGTGATACAGGGATAGACGCCATGCACCACAGAAAAGTTGTGATTGCCTCAAGGTCCCCTGCATCCGCCCATCCTGTTAGGGCCTAAATTACGCAGGAGAGAGGAGATGGAAAATGCGGGGCAATCGTCAAAGCCATTCTGTACGAATACGGAAAAAAACTGACGCTGTTCAGCAAGGACATTGAATTCATCATCTATTGTGCGGGCTAGCACGGCAACATAGAATACTCGCCGACCAGGGTAATGATGGATTGCAGATAATAAATCATCGTGTGTGGCAAGAAAATCTAATCCGTTCGTTTCTTGCTGGGTGTTTGATTACAGATGGAAAACTTTTTGTTCTTTCAAACAAAACAAACAAGGCCATGCTGCTGCTGTTGCGTCTGACACAAGCACATCGAAGAACGCCTCGCGTAGCGTGGAAAGCCAGGCAAAAGTGTAGAGTAACTCGGCCATGTATGATATGCAATGAGGAATAAAACAAAAACAGCATGGGTGGCACACTCTCGATGAGATTACTCGCGTTTGAACCTATTGAAAGCCGAAACATAAAAAGACTGGAGGCACTTTCTAAATCTCTGACGACGTTATTGATTTCCTCCCAGCTCAACTTCCAAGAACTTTTCCCCGGGTTTGTAGGTTGGGAGTATAGACACAGGATCGGAACACCACGAACATCAGACAAAAAAAACTCACAGCCAACCTGCTGATTCTCAAAAACTGGATCACAAGTCAGATAAGCCGGCCGATCACGGACGTCTTGGGGACCAAGAAACCACGGCCAACTCGGGATTCGGAGATAACAACGTTGGGGATACTTTCAACTCTTTACGCAACACAACGTACAATGCAAAAAACCACGACACATCAGAACGAAACGCAACACGCAGTAGCCTACGCAGCAAAATTGATTAAGCAAACATATGGGATAAAGTATTCAATCCGTGCTTTGGGGTTGGGGTTAGGGTGAGGGATAGGGTCTGCGTGCCCTCTCCCTATTCTTTTTCTAGATACAACAATAGATACACTTAAAGTACTGCGTAGGCGGTCCCACACCGTTCACATCCCTCTATAACGCATGGTACATACGAAAGTGAAAGCAAGGTACCGCCGAGTACAACTAAAAATAAAACTTTACAGCAGTACTTCTTTTCTCACTTTCGGCAAGATTCCGCCTGAGCGTGAGCGACGGGCCACCAGCTGGCGCCCTCGCCGAGAAGAGGCAGCACCTTCCAGAACATGAGGGTCACGAACAGGAGCGTCGGCGTCAGCCGCAGGTACCGGTGGATGTACGCCTTCATCATCCATCCCTTCCCCATGCCACCGCTGCCCACGCTGCCGGTAAGCGAGCCGTTTTCGAGCTTAGGGAGGAGCACGCTGCTCAGGAGGAAGCCAGACATGAGGAAGAAGCTGTCGACAGCCATGAAGCCCCCGGGGATGACCTGTGCCGACAACCTGCGAGCACACCATGGCGGTGGATGCGCAAACGTCGCGGGTGCGGGGGGGGGGTTGAGTATCATGGACAGGGGTGCGACTCGTCGGAGCATACCGCGAGAGGCAAATATGCAAAAAATGAGTACACTCTTTTTCTAGCACGTTTCCAGCAACTCCACTCGATATCGCTCGTGCCATCTCTCCAGGTAGAGCCTGGAAATTTTCCTCCCGTCACTCATTCACAAGAAGCCTTCGCTGAGCCGTCCCAACCTCCCTCGCTGCTGTGGGGCACCGTCGTACAATAGCTACTACCGGGGGGGGGGGGAGGAGATTCTCCGTCCTTTGTCGAGCAACAAGTCCATTGACATGGGCATCCCCCCGAAGCGGCGGTTGCAGGCCAACCGGCGGGGGCACGGCGTGATTCGGACACGCGAACAGCAGTCGCGAGTAACTAAATACTTGTACTGAGACCACCGGGGCGACCACCATATGAGGACCGCAAAACTCTAGTAAGACCGGGTTTGGTGTTCACTACCGTCTGAAACAGCAGTTTCTTCGTGTGTGCGGACGTTCTGCATCTAGACGATATGTACTTCCTTAGGATCGAAAATACGAACACGTTGCGCGGTAGTTTGCGTGACTCACGTACGTACCACCCTTTGCGGCGTCTCAGGTACCCCACAGGTGCGCGGGGACCCAGCGATGTCTAAAATACTCTCTAGTAACTATCAACCATCAACCACAGAGGCCAACAGGATAAAAATGACTACCGCCGAGGAGGACACGTGTCTGTCTAGTGGAGGCCTGTTCACGGTTGCACTTCAATTCAAGAATTTGTAAAAGTAAAAGTCATTGCCACAAAGGAGACGAGAACAAAGACAGCAGGAGAGAGCGAATAAAAGCGGATGCTTCCTACGATTGCATCTACGTATGCTATCTGCACCAAGAATGGGATTGGATTGCTGGAAAGCGACACCCTCCTTGTGCGTAATCGTGTGGACGGGAGCGAACGTGCGGACGGCTGCTGTGTCTCTCCTGTGGTTCATACAACTACGGGCGCGGTGCGAGGACATGTCAAGTTACCATTGCACAGACTTGAAACAAGAGGCGTGGTCGATTTTCGATTTTCAAATTTCAAACAACTCAACTTTTGCGGGCGTCCCCCGAGAAACAAATCAGATCAGCGGCCAAATGCACCCTCCGCCACGCGACGCAAACGTGTGCAAACAGCAAAGACAGCTCTCCGCACCGATACGTAACCAAATACTGCCGTAGGAACCAGCGGTGGGGTTTAAAGTTGCAATTGCTCTTGTGTGCCCGCTCACGTGGCCGGCCGTTAGGTCAGGATTCGAGAAAAAAACGACAATATACATACCTCGCCAAGAACCCTTTTCCGCCCTGCGGCAGCACGGCGATGGTGTTCGTGAATCCGGGCCCGCCCCCGGTGACGTTGTAGGCGAAGGTGTGCCCCAAGACCACCCACATCATGGACATCGTCCGCACGCCGTCCAGAGCCGGGAACTCGTCCGCCACGCGCGGCGGGGCGAGCAGGCTGTTGGTGTTGATGATGAGGGAGAAGCACTGAAGGCGGTCGTACGACCACCGCCCCCACTCGCTCTTGCGCATCCGCCGCAGCCGCGCCAGGACCCTGCTCTCGCCGCTCCCGCCTTGCTCCACGCCCTGCTGCTGCTGCTGCTGCCCGTCGCCGGCGGCGGGGGTTCCCTCTTCCGCAATCGCTGCCGCATCCGCGGGGGAGAGGAGGGGCTGCCGCGCGGGGTCTCCGGTGTACGGGGCGTCCGGCGACGGCACCTCCTCCTCGGCGTGCTTGTCTCCGCCGTCCTTGCTCTCCTCGCCGGTGCTGCTGCTGCCCCTCCGCGGCCAGGACATGGGCGTGGCCGTGATGAGGGCGTCGGTGATGGGGCAGAAGACAGCCGTCCCCATCGCGCCGCTGCCGGTGGTGGCGCGCGCCGCCCGCTCCGCCGGGCCCACGCGGCGCTTACGGTTGGCCGCGCTCGTCTTAGCGCCCCCGGACTCGGCCTTCTGCTTGGAGTGACGGCGGGAGTAGAAGTCGACCGCCGTGCCCGCCAGCACCAGGACCACCAGCACGCCGATGAGAGCGAACACGGCGATGGTGCCCATGTCGGGTCGCACGCGGAGCTCTTCCCCGCACGAGATCGACGGCCCGCCCAAGACGCCGCTGGCACCGCCTCCTCCCCCGTTTCGAAGGCCTTGCCCCAAGTGTACAAAATTGGGGTCGAAGCCGCCCGCACCGTCCGAAATGTTCGCAATTACGGCCCCGACGAACGCGGAGTCGCAGCTCTTGGGGAGGCACAGCCCGATCGACGCGAACAGGGGCGCCTGGGCCACGCAGTAGTGCGCATCCTGAACGTCGACGCATGCCGTCGGGGAGCCGCGGTCGTTGAGATGATACTGGTCCATGTACGTTCGGTATTCCTCGAGTGCAGGGTCGGTTGAGTTGTCCAGCGATCCCTGCAGAATCGAGAGCGCCTCGTACACGTGACCGCTGTTGTAGGACAGAAGGGTCGCGTGCTCGACCGTCGCGTCCATGAGGTCCTGCCGGCACTGGGAGAACTCCGGCTGGTCGTGCACGACGGCGCACACCTGTTCACAGACCGCCGATGGTCCCGATGCCGAAAACGTGTCCCCACATCGGGAGGAGCACAACGCTGCATGATCATGTTCAACTGCCGCCGCCTGCACTGACGCTTCTATCGCGCTGGCAGTCGCGAAAATGGCAGCCACCGCAGCTGCATGCGGTGGTAATGCTGCTAACCTCATATCAGCCGCCCCGCCCCTGCAGGCCTTCGAGAGCACGGTAAGTGATAAGGGAGTGACGTCGCCGATTGAATGACGGACGGAAAGGAGGGAGAGGGAAGAGGGAAGAGGGTAGAGAGAGAGGCACACCAGTAGGGGTGGAAACCTGAAATTAAATAAAAACATTTTTCAACTAGGATATACGGGCTGATTCCCAGCTGCGTCCTCCCGCCGTGGGGGCGGTTGGTCGCAGGTCGGCGCTGTACGGACTTGCTTGGTGTAGGGCCTAGCAACTCGTTAGGGACCTACCGCTTCACAAGAAGGGAAAGACTTTCGCGTGGTGTCCCGCGGAGGCGTCTAGAGGTATGATGCCAGTGTTTGTCTCAGTACATGGGGGGGAGAAGCAAATGACATGGCAACCTCATCGATCACTTGCAGCCAGAAATATACTCCCGAAGGACATAGACGACGACTTGATCGATCACACATGAAGAGAAAGCTGGGAGAAGAGTAGAGAGCCGCTGCGCCCTGTCCGCAACAACAAGCCTCGTGCCGTGGTGCTCCAGGCCAGTCCACAGGGACGGCTCGATGGAAAAGTTCGAAAAAGGAGGAGTGCACTGAAGATCATGATTTTTGCGCACCTGGTCTATTGATTATTATAGTCTAAATGTAGGCAAGATCCTCTAAATTCTGCTGTTGTGAGCGTGCATGTGCAGTACAAGTTTCCCTCTTCACGTTTTCGGTGTATGCATACAATATCTGCTTTTTCTGTAGCACAGGTGAAGCAGGGAGCGGGAGACCGGCGGGCAAAAACCGTGCATATTGTTGGATCTTACTCTCCGCGACATGGGTAGAATGTGTGCATGGCACATGGCTATCACAAGGGATAAAAACAAGGAAGAACGTTCGTTCCCGCATGACAAAAGGCGGATGGATGCACGCGATTCAACACTGGTGGGTTGCTGCATAACAGACCGGCTGCTACAACAGCCACAGCAGTGCTTCACACACACAGCAGCAACCAACTTGCTCGAACCGCTTTGTTTACGATGATGACTCGCCAATGCCATCCATTCGTATGCATGTGACAGAAATATGACAACAATGGGTCGTTGGTATAGACTACATGAACACGCTCTCTTTTCCATACCCCACTCCGAACTCCAACCCCAACTCTTCGGCATCCGTCTGCTGCGAGGTGCCCGGCGCCGTGTAATTACGGCGGATACCGGCGTTGTCGCAGAAAGCGATGAAGTCGCGGCTGATGAATTCCACCCCGTTGTCCATCCGGAAAGATCGAGCTCTGAGGGATTTAGATCCCCCGGAAGTGGCACCGGACTTGCTACACTACCGCTGTTATGCGAGTGACTGGAGAGTACCAAAGACGTACAGGGATGCAGTGAACTCATAGTATGGACACTTGTGGGATCCCTCAGAGCTCGGTCGATATCGTCGCGGGTGGCGCACGCAGATGGGACTTGTTCACGCAGTCCTTCTCTTTTTTATGCCCCTCCGCTCTCGCCCCCCCGGCTCCGCTCCTCCACGCCCACCGGCTGAACTCGGAATCTCCCTTCGCCCTCCATCCATGATGCTGCGGGTGGTGAGAGTCGACAGGAGCGTTGCCTTGTCCTGTAGGGATACAAGCCCGTAGCGGTGGGTGGGAGCGTCGCCGCTCCCGCCGGGTGACGTTCTTCCATGGGAACATACCGCCGTACCATCCACTTGGTATTGCTACAATTATATCTATCAACGCAGCTGAGCCGAGGAGAGTTGTTCACCGTCTGCACTATCTTGGAGGCATCATGTGTTGTATACCATCTCCGTAGATCACGCTTACATTTCAAAGTCACGTGTATCGAACTTCCCGCTGCCTACACCCATGCATCGGCTTGCGCCAGCTTCACGGCGCAGAGTACATGTGTTTCCGAGATCGGAACGGATGTCTTGAGCAAAAGTTAGGTACATACCACCAATTTTGGTGGCTACAGCAGTCGACGCAAATTTCGGTGTATGTATCTACTAGTCTAACTGACGGACACGTGGTGCTGGCAAATTGCATCAGCAGTATGCATAAGAGTTTCAATACAAGAGATAAAAATCAAGGCAAGCATTTGCAGTAGGAAAACGGAAAAAACAGCTTCTGCATGGCCTTCCTCCTCTGTGACCCAGGCTGGTGCGTCAAGAATTAGCTGTTACCCAAAGGTATATGGACCCAGGTTCAGAATGAATGGGATGATGGGCGCGAGGCCAGTCCACACCCGGTATTGGATTGACTCGGACCCTGGATCTTGTGCTGAAAGTGCCCACAGCTTCTCAAGGCTCACAGCAATATTCCAGTGCTTCAGCTGGAACAAGCAAACGCTAGGATAATTTCAGATCGATCGCGTTGCGTGAAAGAGAGAAGGGTTCGATCCCAATGCGTGCTTGAGAATAGAGAGGAAGAGATTTGGGAGACCACAAGTGGCGGGTTGAATTCTACACGTGTGGCGTACGTTATGGTGTGTTGTGCGAAGTACATACCACAAAAACTATCACATCCAGCTCGGACATTCAGAACATGTGTAGCGCAGGGCGTGAGTAAACCAAATCTTTTCCGCCGCGAATCGTGCGTGCTTTCAGTGAACGTCTCTCCTTTCCCTGCGAGATGAGATTATGGTTTCATGGCCAGTCATTACCACCGTCAGATAGACAGGTCAATGAACGTGGGGTTCGCGGAGAATACAAATCTCGCCGAAGCACCTACGCTATAGACAAACCTTTTGACGCGCAAATCGGCGCCACCGGCCCGCATTACGAAAAAACGATGCTCCTCCTTTCTCTTACATTTGCCATGTGATGCAGTGTTAGGAGATAAACAGGCGTTTCTGTCAGAGTTACCCCAAGAAGAATTCTGGGAGCTCTGGATCGGTCGTACACTACTCGTTTCTTCGTGTGCAGTGTGCGTAACCCCCCCCCCCCCCCCAACCCCAAACCCTCCCTTCCACGACTCCTCTTGCCACGCACGCAGCAGCAGCAGCAGCAGCGGCAGCAGTGCCGTAAACGCGGAGAGGTCTGCAACGACCATGCCGCCCACACGGCCCCTTTCGACACCCTGTCGGTACGGCTACAACTGCACCAGACCCGACTGCTTCTACGCCCACCCCAAGGACATGCACAAGGATCGGCCAAAGGACGAGAGGCCGCTGTGCACCTTCGGCAGCGGATGCTTCAGGAAGGTGATGATGGTAGAGATCGGGGGAAACATCGCACTACATAGGTCGAGATCACGCTGTCGCGTGTGTTGATGTGGTAAAACCCCGTGCTTTGCTCCCGTTCTTTTCAAGGCTCATATCGGTATGCCTTTTGTGAGGTCTGCAATGTTTACGGCGGTATCCAGCCATCAAGGAAAATGTATTTGTGTTGGGTTTGTTAACCCTCCTAGCCCTAGTACTGGAAGCCCAAATGGGGACACTTCGGAGACACAGCACTCAAATGCCTATTTTACCGCACTGTAGTCACCCTAGACTCCGCTGTGTGCAACGCACGTGAGAACCCTTGGTCTATGGCTGAGGTGGTACGCTGTGTGATATGCTGTGCGATGCCTCTCCTGGGCCTCATGGGCCGTAAAACTGTACATCGCCTGGTACTGGAAGAATTTGCTGACTTGTCTTCAGTGAAAAGTGTCCCCACGTGTTTTTGGGACACATTTCACACTGAAGCCAAGTCCCCCTTTGTCTGGCAAGGAGCTCCGATTCTTTGGAGGGACTGTAGCCCCTCGACCAATGGCTGACAAACATATTGTTCACTCTTTTTTTGCGGAGGGACTGGGTACTATGATAGGAGGGTTACTTGGCCACCCTATTATAGTGGTTTTCGTTCGGGGCCTTCCCCTCGCCTCCCTGCCTCTGACCGAGAAGTACCGCGTGCGAAGCCCCCGGCAATCACATACACGATCAATCAGCAATTTTTGAGGACAAGACCCCTGTTTTTGGGATATGAGCGCAGAGGTCTCTACGGCGTTTCGGTAGAATATCCAGAGGAAACGGCGGGAGTATAATAGCTCCCCATCCAATGAAGGATAGAGCAAGGTAGGACCTCGGTAGCCCTTGGTAGTTCTCCTCCTTGCAGGCCAACTTGGCCACCTTCTGCTCTTTTTCTGACAGCAAGGCACAGCAGGCGCTGCTGCTGTCCCGCAAGAGATTGATTGTATACTGAATACTGTAGCCAAGTGAGTCCGTCGTCGCCGGCCTTTCAGATTGTACAACGCGATCTTCAACGCCAAATTGCCCAGAAAGGTTCCTGAAGCTTCCCGCCAAAAGCGGCTCCTACAGTACCTCCGTCCGTCCAGACTCTCGTCACTTGCTGCAAGTAATCAGAAATGGTGCAGGAGGTCGGCGGGTACGTAGTGGGTTTGTCAGGAGTGATGGAACTCGAGAGTTTCTTTCTGAGGGGACGTTCCCATCCACGGACAAGAAAGTCAGTGCCTGACATGCCCCAACACTTGATTGTCGCCGCACACGACAACAGCGGTATGTCGGGCAAAGCTGTATAGCGAATTTGCTGCTTGCTGGCGGCCATCAGAAGCTGCAAGGAAAGGGCAACCGTAGCGACCCTCTCAAAAGTTTATTGAGGTCGAGATTGAGGGTGATGGACTCGGGATGGGCCAGCCTCGGATGGTAGCCTTCCTCGGAAGTCTGCAGCTAGGCAGGGTAGCTCTTCCAGGCAAGCTGTCCCTTCCCTTTCGGATGTGGCTGCTGCTGGTGTTTTCCGCACTCTTTGGCGAAACGGCTCTTTTTCGGCTCCCTCCCCTCCTTGGCTTCCGCGCCCTGTTCCGGCTCTCCCCCCCCCCCCCCCTGGCCAATTTGGCGGGGCCCCTGTTTTTGTTCTGCTGCACTTGCTGCTGCAGCTCCGGGTGTTCCGCGTCGTCACAGGCTGTTGCGTTTTTAGACCTTCGTTCCGGCCCTCCGTTTACACCCCTCTTCAGAACCTTCCCTTCTCTACCCCGCTTTTGACAACCAAACCAACACCGATGCGGCTTGTGAACGTTTTCGCTCCAACAGGTATGCCACAACGACCACCCCAACGGACGCATTATGGACCAGCTGAGAGCGAGCATTGACTACTGCTCGTCGTGGATGCTGGTGAGACCGCACGAGCTGGTGCGGGTTTCCGCCGCGTTCCAGGCGGCGTTTCCAGCGCCCAACGACGGCAAGGACCGGTGCGACTTCGTGGCTGCCGTTCCTGTGAGGTTGGCGTACAACGACTGGCAGGTGAGTTTTTTGTCGTTGTTGTTGTTGTTGTTGTTGTTGTTGTTGTTTTTGCTGCTTTGGTTGGTTGTGGTCGTCGTTGCTTCGGCTTGTAGTTGTTGGCTTTGGCTGTAGTTGCTGCTACTGTTGCTGCTGCTGTTGTTGTTTCAAAAGGATACCTGGGAGGGAGGGAGAGAAAAAGGGAACTTTTTGTGCCTTCCTCCGCGAGAGAGGAGGTGACATGGTGTGTTTGTGTTCGTCAGGATCATTCTCCGTTCCGCTGATTACCTTCGGCCAAACATGGGCGCCAAAAGGAAACGTGGTGTATTCCTATCCCTAATAGAGACATCCTAGACTTGGAGGGCGGCCAAAAGGAGAGCTCTTCTTGTTTCATGATGTTAAGGCTTTGCCTTCCGTACCAGAGCTGAAACGCTTGTTTTTGTGTCGAAATACGGAATGAGGGGAAGAAACAGGTGCGAGAACGGTCAGAGACGGAGGGGAGGGGAGCGGGAACGCTGGCAGCTGCAATATATCCTGTAGAACCTTGCTTGTCCTTGGAGCACCCACCCCACCCCCATTTTTGTACCCCCCCCCCCCCCCCGCAAATGCTCTCAACACACCCCCTCGGGCTATCTCCAGCGATATCGGGGTATTTCAACCACGGGCACCCCCGACGGGGTCCCCAGCAATCCGCAACAGATCCAGCTCTACCCCCGGACCCGTAAGGGAGAACGCCTCCTGCAGGACCCTCAGAACCGCGTCGGGATGCGGTGGTCACCGACGCCGTACCGGCCGTGGAAGACGCTGGAGAGAATGGCCACCCACGACCAGGCGAGAGAGGATCACGGTTGACTTGTTGTTGTTTGTATGTTTGTATGCTTTGGGGCGACACAGAAGCTGATATTGATGATGCGCACAGGGAAACGGAGGATCAACGTTTCACTTGTTTTTTGTATGCTTTGCGGGACACAGAAGCTGGTATTGCTTTGTACAGAGGGGAAAAGTTTCTTGAGTAAAACAATTACACGACGCTATTTTTTTGTGCGATTTATGCCTTGCGCATGTTCATTCTTCTCGGCAGTAAACGATTCCGATTTCATCTTTTGGGTTGTTGCTGCTGTTTGTGTCGTTGTTTGTAAGATCGCACTAACTCGACTTACCGTTGTACTTGCGGTGGTGATATAGAGGCTTTCGGAGGAGCAGTACTGTTGTTATTGGGCCAGTTCTTTTTCACAGATTTCTTTTGGTAGGGTTCAGATTTTCGGGGTATGTACGTATGTGGCCGGTAGTGTTTTTTTTGTCTGAGGCAGCACCCCAGATCACCCAGGCCTAAGCCTCAGATAAACCCGTTTGACCAACTTGTTAGCATCTGAGGTGGAGAGGTTCAGCGGATTTGTGGACACATAGCAAGAAGCGCAGAGACGGCATGAGTGTTTGCTCCCACTGGACAGGGAATAGAACCGCTCGCTAAGTTCGTTCCACATCTAAATAACTGCTGCCGCCGTGTCCACGGGATGGTCGAATATTAAATTGTTGGTGGAATCGAGGGCGGGGATGAGATAAGTGGTAGAATCAACTCTGAGGCCCTTTTCGAATCTTTGCAGGCGTATGTCGTTGGATTGTCTGAGCCGGCCATTCGGGCAAAAGCTTGGGGCGAAACGAAACCTGACGCGTCTCCTAAACGTCGCTGATCGAGGTGCTTCTGCGATTGTAACGCTCAACTTCACGTCCCCGCCTACCTGCTGCGCAGTATTGGGAAAGCAACCAGGACCACTACCTCTTGTGCGCGGGGTACGAAGCCTTCCCCCCCGGGAGCGGCGTGTACATCGAGTTGTCCGTGACCGACATGATGAAGGCCGAGGACGCTGGGGACGGGCAGCGGGCTGGCGCGCGGGTGGCGCGGGAGGTGAGCGACGAAGGGGGGCGAGGGACAGACAGACAAGGACAAGGAAGATTGTGGCGTGCGTATTTATTTGGTAGGCTTATACTGTTTGTGTTGAACGCGGCAACCGGCTGACTATTGAAAACACGTCAGTCAGGCTTTCAACGAGATAAGAACTGCGACCAGGCTTCCCTGTTGTTTTTCTTTGGTAAGCATGGGCCGCGCTAACCGGTTGAAAAGGCGTCACGTCTTAACGGCGGGGTGGCACGTGCGATCACGTGTTTTTTCTCGTACAGCCAGTAAGCGGGCTCACCCGACAGGGCGCGTGTGGAGAAGGTCGGACGACAGGGACTGTAGTCTACGGGTTCAGAGTACTTCCTTAAGAAGTTCCACACACCTAACAAACGTTCTTGCCTCTCGTGCCTGTGCGGTTGGGGCTCACCATCCGATTGGGCGCGCATCACCCAATGGCCTGAACTACGTAGGTATTGGGGTTACCTGGCGCCAATGGCCAGAAGTGGTTCGTGTTTCATGTGTCGCGGCCAGACGAGGCACACGAGGAGGCGTTCAACATAACCATCCGGGCGATCGTGGACACGAGCAAGGTGAGTCAGTCGTCTCCTACAGCAATCTCGGTGGCGCAAGGCCTTCCTTGCGAGAGTACAACACACGAGGTCAGGCCTCCCCTCTCCCACGGAGTGGTTGGCGAAGCGGAAGAACGACTACCCAATGGTGGTGGTGTTGGTCCCGGTATTCCGTACCGCGGAGCGGGTCCCAATACACCGCGGTAGACATCGCTTGTCACTGGATTTATCTTCCACACTGAAAAGCTGTATATTCCCCAGCACTCAAGTAGTATTTAGTGCGGTTTCCCGATATATATCGTCTGCCCGATGTTGGAAATTGCTTATTGACTTGAAAATGTATACATTAATTTTATCCGGCTCGGTGTGTTAGGTCCCCGGTTGTGACAACTGAACGGCTACGTTTGTTTCTGTACTTCGAACCTGTATCCACCGGTCGCTTCCTCTGTGTACCCCCACCGCTCACCACGCCGTCGGCTGTGTAGATTTTTTTATACCGCGGTTGTTTTTGCTTGTCACAACACCGCGGTATGGTACGGTACGGTAGATATCTCTCTACCACCACTGGCCTTGTGCCGAAGTGCCAATGGGCGCGGGGTCCACGTACTCCCGTACGTACTGACGAGGTGGGAAGTAGCTGAGAACCTTCTCCTCTATGGGACACGCCGGCGCTGCCGTGCGATCGGTTGTTGTGGCGCTCATCACCCCAAGGGCTGAACGGCAGCGCGCTTCGTTTTTTGGCGCCAATTCTGCGAAACGGAAGTCGTTCATGTGCCGATCGTGCAGTCTGCTTCGTGTCACAACGAAATGCGATTTGTTCCGGAAAGTTCCGGAAACCATGGCACCCAACAAACCCTGTGACTGTTTGGCTAATTGCGACGAGATGCAGCGTCAGGACCGTACCCGCGCTTGTGTATCTGATCGAGAGAGCACGCATCAAGTGATCCCGCCTTCCATCTGTCCTTCCTAAATATTTTGTATGTGTGTGCCCTGCCAACAGATGCCTGGGGTACCCCGCCCTCACGAGCCTGGCCGAGCGCCGCAGCTGGCGCAGCCCCCGGTGCTGCCGCCACCGCCATCGACCGTTAGGCCCGGTGCTGTGCCTGCCCCGCCGGCTCCGTTTAACGCGCACCAACAGCAACAGCAGCACCAGCGGGGGCGAGGGCAGCCGTTTGCGGCGCCGTCGAATTTTGCCGGCCCCTCTCCGCCGCCCTCTTCCCCGTCTACGTCGTACGCCTTCTCTAACGCAACCTCCTCCGCCTCCAACTCCCCGGCCGAAGGGCAGAAGCAGCTCCCGGGTTCCGTTAGCTTCAACCGCGGCGGGCCCGCGGCGAAGGCTGCGTCAGCAGCGGCAGTGCCGGCTCCCCCGCCACCCCCGCAGGCGTCGTCCTTACCCGGCGGCGGCGGCGGCGGCGGCGGCGGTGGTTATGTTCAACAGCAGCAGCAGCAGCAGCAGCAGCAGCAGCAACAGCAACAACCACCGGAGAATACGGTGGACGAGCTGAGCGACCTCCTGTCGAGCCTGAACATGGCCAAATTTAGGTGAAGAGAGAGGGAGGCAGAGAGAGAGAGAGAGAGAGAGAGAGAGAGAGGTAGCCTCTGTTGGAAGGTGGGAGAAGTGAGACCACGTGTAAACGTTCACGCAAAACTGCTCGTATTATAGTTCGTAAGGCTTGCCTTCGTTTTTATCGTGGACGGGTTCTCTAATAGAACCGGTGCTTGGTGTGGCCGAAAATCTCGATACAGGTCGGCGTTCGACAGGCAGAACGTGGACTTAAAAGCTCTCAAGATGATGACCGCGGAGAGCGAGCTCTCTGGCATCGCCATCCCGCTGGGTGAGTTCCAGTAATATTCATAGTCGCGACGGTTTTCCGGAGGAGGAGGAGAAAGGCGTTTCGAACGCGCGGCGGCCGCTTGGTCAAGGCCGGGGGAGGGTAGAAGTCGTCGTGTGGTCGAGGAATGAGTGTGGATGTAAAGGGGAAGAAGAGATTGTCCGTAAGATGGGGGAGGGAATGCGGATGAGGAAAGGCAAGGCAATTGTTACCTGGGGATAGTGTACGTTTGGTGATCGCGAGAAGGTCAATGACGCCCTGGACCCTCCAGAATAGCATGCTGACACGGGGAATACACGGGGGTATTTTCTATAGAGAATCCGGGAGAAGCGTGGACGGTTTTACTACTAACGGTATCTTGGGTCAACCTCCCTTCTCGAAGCCAGTAAATTACGATGTATTCTTGAAGTGTTTTAGAGGCCAAAAAAATGTTTGAGCACTCTCTCCCCCCCGCCCCCCTCCCCAGTTGGTTAACCCCCTCCTCTATCAGCAGCTGTAGTTTTTTTTTTGTTGCGGGAGTGCGCTCGAAGGCCGCCCTTTCCATTCCCTGCCATCAAACCACGTACACACAACAACGAGTTTATTCAGTTCGTTGCGCTGGAGCATTGCTGCCGTATAACTTTCATCCTTTGTGCCCTTGTTCCCTTCCTTCTCCTCTCGCCTGCTGCCGAGGCCCGCGAATAAAGCTCATGAAGGAGCTTGGCATCGCAAGGGGTCGATGAACGCGGCAGTGGCGGTGGCGTCAGCGGCAGTCCCCCCCCCCCCCCCCCCCGGGCCAACGTGTTGTGCCCTCGTTGCTTGTGATGGCACTCCCGATTGAGAAGGCCACAAGAAGAAACGGCAGTGCTTTGTTTGGCGTCGCTGTTTGGGGGGCGCCGTGGTCAGCACCGAGAATATTACGGGGGGGGGAGGGTGATAGCTGCGGGATGAGCTGCAGCAGATCTGCACCCGCGGAGCAGGCGCCGCGGGCGGCGGCGCCGGAGAGACGGGTAGGGCGGACATGCTGTTCGTCCTGCCTTCCTGCCGGCCAAGCACAGCAACGGCAGCGGGCGTGCTGCGTGGTAGCGCCCCGCGCTAATCGGTGCGGAGAGTTTTTTGCGAAAGTAGACATTCGCGAAGTTGTACCGCATGGTGTGTTGGGTGTTGGGTGAATGGGTTTGCGCAGAGCAGAGTGTACACATCGAGCGCCCGAAGATTGGAGCAGCTTGGGGGGCGGGGAGCTTGCAGCACGGTGCGCGGCACGTAAGTACTCGTTGTGTCCCCTCCGTTTCCCTTTCCGTTTCCCTTTCCCCCTTCCTTTTTCCCTCCTTTTTCCCTTTCTTCCTTTCCTCTTTTCCCTCGCCTTGCAAGAGGAATGGTCCCAGTGGGGCGAGAGATGTAGAGATGGCTGAGAGCAACAATCACCCAAGCAGTTTGAGCTGGAAGGTGTTTGGGGGGGGGGGGGGGGTTGAGGAAGAGTATTTTGCTGGAGGACACCTCCATGTCAGACGACCTTGGTTTCATTTTGGGTCGTATTCGTCGCTGGCATCAACAAGCATGTTGATGAACAAAACGCTGTAATTTTTCCGGGCGGAAGGTCAAGGGCTGGCCTGCAAGTAGTAGCTTATTTCGCGAGGGGGTTGCTGCTTTTGGTGCAGATCGGGTGTGGCTTCACCTTCCAAAGCTTTAATAGGTGGGCGGCGGGGTTCTGACGACATTCCGGTTTGCTTTTCGGTGTCCTTTGGTGTCGTAGTTTGTCCTCTTATTCGAATCCCTCTTGGTGAACCCAACAAAACATGTAGAAGTACGTGCTAACGTTTTCCGGTCTACGGTACGAGGGAAGGAAAAAGGAGAATGACCTTTTAGAGAAGCGTTCCGGCGTTTCCACGCTGTTTGCCGGTGCGAGTATGCTTCGGGGCGTTGCTTTACGTATCGCTGCCGATTGTTGCGCACTTTCTTGTATTCACGTCGCCACGAGTTTTGAGGTTCTGCGCAGGTTGGGAGGAGCAGGGGGGTCAAGCCCATCCCCT